ATATCTATATATATATCAGAAATTTTCAGTGCCCAACAACTTCTTAATTCTAAGCCCATTGTTGTCCTTAGAAGGTTATATGAATTACACAAAAGCTGATTTTGTGTCTAGGGAGCAAAGGTCAAATCTAAACAGGGAGGTGAAGAATGGAAAGAGTGCCTGTCCTTACAGGAGCCTAAGGTAAAACCCACAGAGAAGGCTGCTGGAAGTAGAAGAGAAAGAGTAACTACTGGAGTGTTTTCCCACGCGTGGAATGGCTCCCCTTTCAGGACAAGCCAAGGGACCTCCTGGTCATTAACCACCATCTCCAAGGAGCTCTAGGAGCTTTGGTAGTGTAGTGCCTAAGGCACTTTACTGCTAACCAGAAGGCTGGTGGTTCAAACCCACCAGCCACTCCTTGGAAGGAAGATTAGGCAATCTACTTCCATAGTGATACTACCTCGGAAACCCAAGAAGGGGTTGCTATGAGTCGGGTCTGACTTGACAGCATATAACAACAACACAAGGAGCTCTGGTGGTGTAGTGCCTGAGGCATTTGACTGCTAACCAGAAGGTTGGTAGTTCAAACCCACCAGCCACTCTGCAGAAGGCAGACTGGGCAATCTACTTCCATAAAGATTTACTGCCTCAGAAACCCGAAAGGGGTCACTATGAGTGGGAATTGACTTGATGGCAGTGAGTTTGGTTTGGTTTACTAGGCGTGATCAGCCCTTAATGACCTCCTGGATATATGCAGAATTTTTATGAGAACGCAGTTTTCTCTAATTCTTTGTAGGTTTTAACAAAGAATCAGTGATTTCCTAGTAGGTGGAATAAAATTAATAGTTTATTAATAATCTCACTGTTATATAAGGTCCTATTTATGTCTTTCCTAAATTTTAGTAACCGAAATAATAGATTCATTTCTTTAAAGCCTATCAAGACCAAAGAAATTTGAATTTTGATTAAGGGTGGCTTCACCCTCAGGAAGCCAAAGTTAGATTGCCTTCTAGTTGTAGTGCCTCTATATTTAAAAATGGTAGAGAAAATTGTCCTATATCTTATGACTGACTAAGAGGAGCTCTGGTAGCATAGTGCCTAAAGCACTTGACTGCTAACCAGAAAGCTAACGGTTCAAACCCACCAGCCACTCCTTGGAAGGAAGATGGGGCAATCTATTTCCACAATGATATTGCCTCGGAAACCCAAGGAGGGGTCGCTATTCAACGGCATGTAACAACAACACAACATGACTGACTAGACTTGATGTGAATAAGTAGATAAAAACAAGGAATAAATTAATTAATTAGGCCCCTCATTTTTGTCCAGTATGACAGAAAATTATTTTTACCATAATTAAAACTTAATACTTTTCAAAGAAACATCAGTTTATACATTTTTTCATTAACTGTCACAATGAATTTTATTAATTTATACACTTTATAAATATCTCATTGTGATAAATTACTTCTATTGAAAAAATTCCTAATTCAAACAAATTATCACAAAAAAACAAATGCACTGCCGTCAAGTCGGATCCAACTCATAATGACACCTCCTTGGGTTTCTGTGGCAGTATCACTATGGAAGTAGATTGCCCAGCCTTCCTTCCAAGAAGTGGCTGGTGGGTTTGAACTGCCACCCTTCTGGTTAGCAGTCAAATGCTTTAGGCACTACACCACCAGAGCTCCCTATAAATAGGACTCTAATTAATGAATATACTATTAGTTGCTCTCTAACAATAACTCAGTTTGGACCATTAGCTATGACTTTTTTTTTTTTTTTTCCTTTTTTAATACTGCTTTTCATTACTGAAATTCAAGTAATGAAAACAAACCCTGAACATATTCTGTAGATTCTAGATGATTTTTTACACATTATGTTTTCAAAACTACTATCTCACAATATTCAATAGAATTTCAATATAGAAAAATTTAAAAATAACTCTATTTTCACAAAGCAGCATCAAGTTAGCATTATATTTTTATACACAGATTTTAATTTTAATTTAATGTGTAAAAAAATTAAACCTGAAAAATAAATCTATTTTAGGTAAGACTTTAAGGGAAATGCTTATGTTCACTTCTAGAATACCAATTTACTATGAAATAACAAGTTTTTATTTTATTTTTGAGGCTGATTCTGATGATAATCTTTGTATTTCTAGCTCCTGGACTTTCACCTTCTGGGAAGACAACTGATTATGCCTTTGAGGTAGACTTAATCAACCCATTCTTTCTTTTATGACTGGCCTGAAAAAACATACTGAAGTGTTTTGTTAATGCATTACTATTTCACTTTAAATTTGTTATTAATTGACAGCCCATAGTCTCATTTAAGGAGCTCTGGTAGTGTAGTGCCTAAGACTGCTAACCAGAAGTTTGGTGGTTCAAACCCACCAGTCACCCCGCAGAAGGAAGAAGGGGCAATCTACTTCCATAAAGATTTGCCACCTCACAAACCCAGTGGGGGTCGCTATGAGTTGGAACCAACTCTATGGCAGTGAGTTTGGTTTTGGTTTTAGTCTCATTTAACCTATCAGTCCTCATTTTGCAAAATACCTTGTCAGTATAATGGAATATAAATCTTCTGATAATGATAAATTCCCACCAGAAAACTCTCCAAATTACATATCCAAACCAAACCAAACTCATTGCCATTGAGTAGATCCCAACTTATAGCAACTCACATTGGGTTTCCAAGGCTGTAAATCTTTACAGAAGCAGAAGGCCTTATCTTTCTTCCACAGAGCAGCTGGTGGGTTCGAACCACTGACCTTTTGGTTAGCAGCCAAATGCCATAACCACTGTACCACCAAAGCACCTTCTAAATTGCATATATGTTAAATCTTAGTTGTATAAGTATAATGATTCCAAAAGAGGTCAAAAAAATAATCTATTGAAGCAGGAATAAAGAAACAGTTTCTACATGCGTATTTGTATGTGCCATAAGAATGGCCAGGTGTATAGCAGAGCTAACAAGGGGCAAAGTTGTGGTGGCTTCTTGGCCACAGTCAGTTACCTGGAAGAAGTGAGTAGTTGGAACGTGTGGGCTCAATTGGCATAACATACTATGCAAAAACATTGTTCCATATCCTACTTTGGTGAGTAGCGACTGGGATCTTAAAAGCTTGCAAGCAGCCATCTAGATGCAACAATGAGTCTCTCTTCATACAGAGTAAAGAAGAATAAAGAAATATAAAGATGCATGGAAACAATTAGTCCAAGGGACTAGTACACCATGCAATCCTCAGCCTATATGACCATGAGACCAGAGGAACTAGATGGTACCCAGCTACCACTGTCAACCACTCAGAGGTGGATCAGTGCTGGAGATCCTGGATAGAATGGTAGAACAATGTGAAACAAAACTCAAAATCATTTTAAAAAAAGAGAGAGAGAGAGGCCAGGCTTGCTGGTCTGATAGAGCCTGGTGAGACCCCTGAGACCATGGCCCCTAGTTACCCTTCTGTTCCGGAACTGAACTCACTCCTGTGCCTTCCAGCCAAACAACAGGCATATGGAGTGAACATTTACATCAGGTAGATATACTCCCTGGAGAAATCAATCATGGGAGAGCAGAAGGGCAGTATTTGCACAGGGAGACAGCTCCGGGGGGGGGGGGGAGGGGGGGCCATGGACGGGAGTGCATGGGAGGAAAGGTAACTGTGGAGAGGATGTGGGAAGAGAGCTGTTACATTGTGGGGAATTGCAGTCAATGTCATGAAACAAAATTTGTATGAACTTCTGTGTGGAAAATGAATTTGCTCTATATACTTTCACTCAAATAACAATAAATTTTAAAAAAGAGTAAAGGAAAAATTAATTGTGATGAATTTTTATCATACTATAAATATGTTTGTAATTATTTAAGTCCCTGTCTCCTCCTAGTGCAAGAGTCATAAATTGTAGTGTCACCAGGAGCCTGACTAACCAGATGAACAGGCTGAGTGAGGGCACCAGTCCCCAGCTAAAGCTGCCACTCAGTTCCACATGATTGCTGAATATCTATCGCTGGCACCATAGGCACGCAGACCCAGTGTTGCCAGATTATTTAAGAGAAATAGAAATTGATACTATCACATTGGATTATTTTATCCTTATTTCTAACCACTATTAAACAATTCAAAAAAAGAAAGTTAAACATAATGTGGATCAAATGAAATATGTAGTCCATCAAAAATGGTCCATCATTCATCAGTTTAAAAGCTCTTCTCTCAGTTGTAAACTTTATGAGATCATATTTCTCTTGTTTATAATTACATTACCAAACATATTAGCACAGTCCCTGGAACATAGCAGACACCCAGTAACATTGGGTGAGTGGAAGTATTGGATTAATGGATACACGGATGCCAGGGTGGATGGATGGATGCAAAGGTGGATGGATGAATGGAAGAGTAGGAGGATGGATGGATGGAAAGAAGGAAGAATGGATGGATGTATAGATGAATGGATGGACATAAGGGTGGATCAATGTGTGGATGGAAGAAAAGAAGGAAGAAGCAATGCAAGGGTAGCTGGATGGATATAAATATAGATGGATGGTTGCAAGGATTGATGGATGGATAGCTGGATGAGTGAATAAAGAAGCAAAAAATATATGAAAGAGATAACAGTTAAGTTGGAAAATAGAAAATGGGAAGAAATTTGATAACGAATTTAAGTGTGGAGGTGGGAGGAGGCAGGCATTTTGAAGCTGAAAGAATAATTGAGAGTATATGATATGTTTGGGAAAAGATAAGTAATTCCAATATGACTGGAACTATGGGTTTTTTTTGTTTGTTTGTTTGTTTTGTTTTTTAAAAAAAGAGGTGTGGTGAGTGTGAGGGTAGATTGAGGGTGACTTGGAAGCCTACATTGAGAAGTATATACTCAATTTTCTAGATAATGAGGAACCATTTCAGGTTTTCAGAAAACGAGAGACCAAGTCTCTAATACATTCAAAACCCAAATCTTATTTTTCAGATGGCTGTTTCAAATATTAGATATGGAGCAGGAGTTACAAAAGAAGTGGGCATGGCAAGTATTTTAGATTTCTATAGTCTCCTGCTATAAGCTGTACAGATTTAAAAAAAAAAAAAAATAGGCTAACTGACAGCAATTGAATCTTTTATTTTTAAAACTGTGCAATGTTGAGTTTGTAAAAAAAAAAGTCTATTACCATTCTAGTGGAATCAAAGCTAACTGATGAATTATTTTTGTTACCATAGGACCTACAAAACATGGGTGCTAAAAATGTTTGCTTGATGACAGACAAGAACCTCTCCCAGCTCCCACCCGTACAAGTAGTTATGGATTCCCTGGTCAAGAATGGTGTAAACTTCAAGGTCTATGATAATGTGAGGGTGGAACCAACTGATACAAGGTATTCTTGTGTTGTTGTTTACTGGAAGTATTAGCCAGCCATCACTGTTATTTAAAACTTGCCCCAGGCTTTATTTAATGGCATGAAAAATGTGACATAATGTTTGTTTGTTTTTTGTTTGTTTTAACTTCCAAGCTTCCTGGAAGCAATTGAATTTGCCAAAAAGGGAGCTTTTGATGCCTTCGTGGCTGTGGGTGGTGGCTCCACCATTGACACCTGTAAAGCTGCTAATTTGTATTCCTGCAGCCCTCACTCTCAGTTCTTAGATTATGTCAACGCTCCCATTGGGAAAGGAAATCCTGTCTCTGTGCCTCTTAAACCTCTGATTGCAGGTAAAGACTTGTTTGTTTTATATGACAGTTGCCAAAAGACCATAGGAGAGATGTAAGCTAATAATTTTAGGCTCTACGTTTCTAAAACGTTTTGATTTTTTCATTTTGGTATAAAGCAGCAATTCATTAATTTTTAAAATCCCAATCTTCATTATTGTGCAGATAGAGATAATTTGGGTCAATGGTAGACAAGTTTGCAGATTTAAGCAATGAAGTTATTATGTGTATGTGTGTGGGGGGTGTCATCTTCCATATATTATTTTATCTCTAAACTTTTCTCTGTTTTGTCCCATTTTGCTAGCCACTGTGGAGTTTAAGGGGAACTTCGCTATTATTTTTCTGGTGTTGACCCAACCGTTTATTCCAGATGATTGCTCTTCAGCTGACCTCAGGCTTTGTCTCACCCCTAAGACATGTGGCCAGCAAGGATGCCCAGTGCTGGGCGACATCTGCTCTGTAGCTGACCCAGGCACAGACATGCAAATCCAAATCAGAATGGCGTGTCAGTCAAACAGGGAGCCTTGGGGTCTTCCGGTCTTGTCTTTGCTCCTGTTTTTATGGCTACTAGTTTATTCCGACTTTAGAGTTTTGTGGGAAAGATGCACTATTTTGGTAACTGGAAAGTAACCTTCAAGTTTTGCTCTTTTTCTCTCATCATGAAAGGGCCTTGTGATGGGCGACAGGTTAGTTGATGGCAGATGAACTGTTGACAGGAATTAGGAATCAGCGGGGAACAGCCTAATTGATGTCTGGCAAATGGAATCCTCGGGTGAAACTGTGTCAGCACCACACAGAGGGGTGATTAGTAAAGTTTAAAAACTCGCCAGAGCTACAAAACCGCGAGCCCAGCAAAGGCAGAGCGTTACTGTGCTTGCTGCCAACACGGAATAAAGATGTCTTTTAGAGACGCAGAGAGGAATTTTCTTGCAGGAGACGCTAGCGTCTGAACACCCGGCTGCAGCTGCTTCATTCAGATCCAGAGCTGTAGAAGCAGCAGTTGGCAGTCGCTAGAGCGCCCCTCTGTTGATACAGACACCCTGAACATCATGTCTGTATTAGCTTTGTTCCTTATTTCCTGAGGCAGAATTAAGTATCTCTACTTACCTTTATTTGCGTTGTTGCTAGTTGCCATCAAGTCGATTCTGACTAATGGGGACCCGATGTGTGCGGAGCAGAGCTACCTGCTCCATAGGGTTTTCAAGGCAGATCGCCAGGCCGGTCTTCTGAGGTGCCCCTGGGTGGGTTACAGCTGCCAGTGGTTTGCCCAGAACCCTTTGTTCAATTCTGTACATTTATTTCTATGTCTTATAATTAACGTGATTTTGTTCAAGTCCCAACTACTTCAGGAACCGGGAGTGAAACTACGGGGGTTGCCATTTTTGACTATGAACACTTGAAAGTAAAAACTGGTAAGAACTTTGCCCATAATTGCTGTTTTGTTTTTTTGTTTGTTTTGTTTTACTTTTTAACCCTCCCTCCTACCTTTCAATGCCCTGTGCTTTAATCCTGATATTTAAAAATCAAGGCATTATGGAATTAAGAGTGAGTGCATTTGTACATTTTCTTTCTTTTTCTGAGTACATATGAAACTATTAATTGGTCAAAGTTGTTTTGAGAGTTATCTATTAAAATCATATGGATATGCCATAAACCTTGATGGACCTCTTTTCTGCCTCATTTAGTCATTATGTGTCAATAGAAATGGTGGTTCCCTTTCTTAGCCATGTTTTCTGTTTTAAATCAGTTTTATTAAGATGTAATTTTAATATAATAAAATACACCCACTTTAGTTTGAAGAATTTAGTTTGATGCTTTTGGACAGATATATATACATTCATGTTACCACCACCACGATCAAGCTGTAAAAACATTTTTATCATCCTAGAAAGTTCACTCATGCTCCTTCCCAGCCCTAGCCCCAGGTAACAACTGTTCTGCCTTCTCAGTTATCTTTTTCCTTTTTTCTTCTCTGTCTCTCATTTACCCTAAGCAATCTACTTCTGGAAAGATTTACTGCCTCTCGGATGGGGGTCACTATGAGTCGGAATTGGCTCAATGGCAGTGGGTTTGGTTTTGGTTTAAGGTGGTAGAAATGTCCCTCTCCTTGACTCTGGCTCAATAGCCTTCTTCCAGGCCTTTGTGTGTCCCACTGCTATTGTGTTGATTCCGACTCATAGCAACCCTATAGGGCACAGTAGAAGTGCTCCACTCTATAGGGTTTCCAAGGCTGAAGATCTTTACAGAAACAGACTGCCTCTTTCTCCCACAGAGCAAGCTGGTGGGTTTGCTACTGACCATTTGGTTAGCAGCCAACTGCCTTAACCAGTGCACCACCAGAGCTCCTTTATTATTGTTGTTGTTATGTGTTGTTGAGTTGGACCCGATTCATAGCGACCTCTCCTTAGGTTTCTGAGGTGTTATCACTACAGAAGTAGATTGCCCAACCTTCCTTCTGAGGAGTGGCTGGTGGGTTTGAACTGTCAGCCTTCTGGTTAGCAGCCACATGCCTTAGGCACTACACCACTAGGCCTCCTTAGCAGAATAAAATATTCAACTGCACATTTATTATAACTTCTTTTTTTAAAAATTAAATTATCCTTTGACATTGTTAAAGATAATAACAGTGGCCAACATTTACATTCCACCTTACAGTATCTGAAAGATTTCTACATAACATTGTCTCATTTGATCCTTACAATAGCTCTGTGAGGGATGGTGGAGAAAAAAAAAAAAAAAAAGACCAAACTCACTGCCATCGAGTCAATTCATCTCATAGTGACTACCCTCCTTGGGTTTCTGAGGCGATAAGTCTTTATAGAAGTAGATTGCCCCATCTTCCTTCCAGTGAGGGATAGAGGCTCTGTGTTATTATCATCCAATCATATAAATGAGAAATCTTAGGGAGGTTAAGTGACTTGCCCAAAGGCAAGGACCAAACTGTGGTGCATTGGTAAATCAGCTCTTTGAAATTAAAAAATAATAATAATAACAATAAATCCTGATTTGTAGCATTTGCCAATTCCCATAGTGTAAATACTTCCACCACGGGCAATGATGCTACTCAACTCAGAGCTGGGATGAGATGCATACAATTGGCTTTTGTGAACCAGTTGGGCAAGCTCTAGCACACCACTGAAGAATCCAGGTTTCTGATTCCAAATCTCTTTCTACTTCTCCTTTCTGCCTCCCTACATGAGAATGAATCCTATCTCATATTTTTTAAGATAATTATGTTGTTGTTGTTGTTGTTGTTGTTATGTGCTGTTGAGTCTGCCCTGACTCATAGCGACCCCTCCTTGGGTTTCCGAGGCAGTATCACTACGGAAGTAGGATTGCCCAACCTTCCTTCCGAGGAGTGGCTGGTGGGTTTGAACTGCCAGCCGTCTGGTTAGCAGGCAAGTGTCTTAGCCACTATGCTACCAGAGCTCCTATAATTATAGAAGTTATTATATTTTAAGAAATCGTGTTCATGCCTTGAGTCTCTATTGAAAATTCCCATGTTTTAGGCATTGCTTCACGAGCCATCAAACCTACACTGGGACTGATTGACCCTCTACACACCCTCCACATGCCTGACAGGGTGGTGGCTAACAGTGGCTTCGATGTGCTTTGGTAGGTTCTGGTCCCACCTGGAGGGGCTTTTTTAGCAATGGAGTTGATAGGCAGTTTTCTGTTGCTCTGATCACTTGATAAGCATTCATAGATTAGCAGTAGGAAGGTCTGATGCCAGGATTTACCCCTGGGCAGCTGACCCCAGAGTCTGGTTCTTACACACCACTTTGTACTCTTAATAAAATGAGTATTAGCAAGAGACTAGTGAACAATGGTTTTCCTTTAGTAACATGGTATTTGATCAAGGTATAAAATGGTAAGTAGCTTCTACAAGAGGTCGATTTTTAAGATTCCATGTTTTTATTCATGACTCAAAGATTTAATAAAACAGCACCATACAGATTTATTTACACTGGAAAGGGACCATGTGTGGTCAAAAATGCTGCTATCATATATTCATTTCTGTAATAACAATGATTGTCAGTGGACAATAGTCTGGCTACTGGGATGTTCTGTGATTCTCAGTGCTAAGTAGCAAATCCACAGAGAATGCGTACCAAGTATTTCAAAGATGATTTGTAATCTATATGGAGAGAAAGATGAAGACAACACTTTCAACCTGTGTATTTTGAATGTCTCTTGTTAGCCATGCCCTGGAGTCCTATACTGCCCTCCCCTACCACCTGCGGAGCCCTTGCCCTTCCAATCCCATCACCCGGCCAGCGTACCAAGGCAGCAACCCAATCAGTGATATTTGGGCAGTACATGCACTGTGGATCGTTGCTAAGTATCTGAAGAGGTATGTCACCTGGCAGGGGACAGAAACAGAACTGAAAAAGTATAGTCAATCCTCATGTGAAATGTGATATGCTCATCCTGAGCAGACTGTTCTCCAGAAGCACAGTCAATGGACAAAGAGAAGCACTGCTTGGAAGGAATAAGAAGGCTAGTGTGGATGCCCCAGAAGGCAGATGAAATCAGGGTCCTCCTATCTGAAAAGGCAAAGGCAAGTGTGAGGTTACAAAATAGGAGCCCCAAAAGTAGGAAAGATGCAGATGAAATAAGTAGAGGCTATTCATCAAATCCTCTAAACCAAAGCTAGTATGAGGTATGATGTCCTTTGGGGCGTGGCCATCCCAGGTAGATATGAGGATCACAGATGCAGGTGTTGGCTGTGCACTTCTAGGCCCTGTCCAAAGGTCAACCCATTGAGAAAACTCACAAGAGCTCATTTTAAGAAATAAATGCATAGTCCCAAGATTTTAAAAAGGAGAAAACATAAAAGGATTCCTAAAAGGTTTTGAAAGATTTATGAATGACATAACCAGAGAGACCAAAGATACACTTGGGAATAAAGGCTGATAACAGACATTAAGGCATATGCCAAGTCAGACTCACTTTTTGTATTTACACATGATGGTGGGAAAGGACACTGGCAGGTCAGGCCTAGACAGAACACAAGGCCTTTTTTGGCCTTGAGTGCAAAGGCTCCCTGTGAGAGGTGGGCTTGGAACTGCAATTTGTAGCCAAGAAGAGGGAAAGCATGGAGAGCACCACAGTAGCATTTGACAAGATAGGAGCAGGCACAGATAATGGTCAACCAGTGTGTTTAACAAGGACAGCCTTAGCAGGGCTGTTTTGGGAGGTGAAGGAAGGAGTAAATCAAACAAATGAAAGTGAAATCTCACCATCTGCTACTTTAATTTGTTATAAGAGGAAAAAGGAACTAATACTGGACTTTGGAAAAAAGATACAAATGTCTAACAATTCCCAAATGTTAGGAAAAAAAAAAAAAAAAAAAAAAGCTGTAGTGCTTTTATTTCCTCATATCAGGAGCCCTGATGCAAAAAATCGTAGGGAGCCAAGTGAGAAGTGGCTTCGTCCCCGGGCAATTATTCCAAGCAGAGTAAGCTGAATCTGAAAGGGACCTTTCAGAATTTGCTTTTTCGAAGTGGCGTTGGGGACACACAGAGTAAGCAAAGGCTTGTCCTGCAATAACATCGCGTTTCCACAATAATAAACATTACAATACATGTGCCCTTTCCAGAGACATCAAAAGAGGCCCCAGAGGGTTTGATTTGAGCTGCCAGGGCTGCATTTGGCCTGCAGGTAGACCCAGCGACAGGGTGCACGTCACGGCCGGTGCTTTCTGAGTACGTGTTTACTTTGAGTCCATTCACAGCCTCAGTCATGGTCAGTGACAAATGAAGAAGAAGAATGAGTCCCAGGATACTTTTCTGGAGCAGCTCTTCCAGTCCAAGGGTCAGAGCTTTCTCCCCTGGCACCGTTCTATCACATGAGGAGCCTGACAGCGTATTTATTATGCCTATGCTGAAACCATTAATGGGAAAATATGTTTGGTTTTCGTTCAGAAGACAGGATGTCGTTTGAATTACTTGCCTAATTTTTCTTCTTACAAAGTAGCATTTTTTTTTCCAGATCTTTCCCTAAAGCGGCTCTTTCTTCAGTGGGAAATGCCAATACTGATCTGTTAGTTATTTATGTCATTCATAGGGCTGTCAGAAATCCTGATGATCTTGAAGCAAGGTCCAATATGCACTTGGCAAGTGCCTTTGCTGGTATTGGCTTTGGAAATGCTGGTGTTCATCTGTGGTGAGCTAATTCACAGTTTTCTTTCTTTCCCCAAACTATTGCTTTTAAATTTAAAAAAAAAAAAAGTTTATGACTTAGGATAGGTGGAAAAATTTAAATATGTTACCCTACCACCACATTGCTGTCAGTCAGTTCTGACTCAGAGTGACCTTAGAGGGCAGAGTAGAACTGCCCCATAGAGTTTCCAAGGCTGTAATCTTTACCAAAGCAGACTGTTATGTCTTTCTCCATGGTTAGGGGCCAAGCACTTAGCCAGTGCACCATCAGTCTCCTAAATATGCTATAGAAAGAAGAAATTTAACTTAATGTCCCTAAATATTTTCTTAATTCAAATGAGTTTATTGAATCATGGATTTGGGGTGAGAGGAGATAGGGAACCTCTTCATTGACATATATAATTCACATACCATACAATTCAACCATTTAAAGTGTACATTTCAGTGGTTTTTAGTATATTTATAGAATTGTGTAACAATCGCCAAAATAAATTTTAGTATATTTTTATCAACCCAGAAGGAAACCCTGTCCTCTTTAGCTATCACCCACCAATCCTTCCATCCCACAGTCCTAAGCAACCATATAGCTACATTCTGTCTCCATAACAGTTGCCATAAGTTGACTCTGACAGAGTAGAACTCTGCTCCACAGGCTTTCCAATGGCAGAGTTTGGAAGTGGATCACTAGGCCTTTCTTTCAAGGTGCCTCTGATTGGACTGGAACATCCTGTCCACATGAACCATTTCATTTGTACCTCCCAGAGGCTCCCTGTCTCTGGACATTTTATGTAAATGGAACATTCGATATGTGATCTTTTGTGGCTTCTTTCACTTAGCATAAGTTTTCAAGATTCATCCATGTTGTAGCATGTATCAACACTTCATTCCTTTTTATTGCCAAATTATGTTCTATTGTATGGACCTATTACATTTCACTTATTCAGTTGTCAGTTGATAGACATTTCATTTATTTCTACCTCCTGGCTATTATGGGTAGTGCTGCTATGAATAATCATGTTTTTGCGTCCACATATGTTTTCGTTTCTTTTGGGTATATATCTAGGAGTGGAATATACTAACGCTACCCTATGTTAAATTTTTGAGGACCTGCCAGGCTGTTTCTAAGGTGGATGAACCTTTTTTTTTTTTTTTTCTCTCATTGTATTTCTAAACATACACACCAAGACACTCACCAACATAACAACTTCCAAATTTACAGCTCAGGGACACTGATGATATTTTTCATGTTGTGCCACCATTTTGCTATCCTTTTTCCAAAATGTTCCACCACCATTCCATTATCAGCATAAACTCAATGCCCCACAAATACAAGCTTCCAACCTTTCCCCCTCCCTCCTACCTCCTACCCCTTGTAACCACTAATAATGTTTATTTTATGCATACACACACACACACACATATACCTTATCTTATCTAGCAATTTTCCCTTCCCCTCCCGTCTCTGGTAACCAACAAAGAAAGCTTCCTTCTGTATATAAACTTTTCCTTGCTTTTTACAATAGTGGCCCTAATACAATATTAGTTGTGTGATTGACTTAATTCACTTAGCGCAATGAGCTCCAATTTCATCCACTTTATGCAGTGTTTCACAGATTCTGCATTATTCTTTAGTGTTGCATAGTGTCCCATTGTGTATGTGTGCCACAGTTTGGTCATCTGTTCCTCCAATGATGAGCATTTAGATTGTTGCCATCTCTTTGCTATTGTTAATAGTGCTGCAATGAACATGGGTGGGGTGCACCATTTTTTATCCCACTAGTAGTGTATGATTTTGATCACAAGAATTATGAAGGTGGCGCAGGACCAAGAAGTGTTTTGTTCTGCTGTGCATAGGGTCACTGTGAGTCAGAGCCAACTCAATGGCACCTGACAACAAATAGTGTAAGAGGGGTCCAGTTTCTCCATATCCTCACCATGTGTCATTGATTTTCAAAATCCCCAATATAGGATTTTTTCCCTCCTAATTTCTCACAAAAAGAGAAGGATCAGGACTTTTGTCAATGGCCAAGAATTAATCTTTTTGATCAAGACTTTATTAATATGTTGCCTTAAAATTGAAAAACAGTGAACCCTAAGATTAAGAACAGGCTTTTGCTAAAAAGAGTTCAATGAACCAGATACCCTCAAACTCTGCTAGTGATGGGAGTATAGATTGGTGCTGCCTTTAGTGATGGGAGTATAGATTGGTGCTGCCTTTAGTGATGGGAGTATAGATTGGTGCTGCCTTTCGAAAACAGTTGAGGCTTAAAAATGCATAGACCTCTCGACCTTCTGCTTTCACTTCTAGGAGTCTAGCTAAAGAAGTAACTATATGACCAGAGAATCTCCTCAAAGGATGTTCACCTAAGTGTTACTTATAATTGAAAGATTTGAATGTAACCTATATGTCCAACTGCTTGGGAAAAGTTAAAGTACAATACTTAAAGAATAAAATAATAAAAGGCCATTAAAAATAGTGTTTTAGAAGACTATAAAATAATATGAGAAAATACAAAGAATATTCAATTACCAAAAGTAATATATAAAATTACATTTATAATATGACCATAAATTAAATATATAATAAAAAGACTAGAATGAAATATTCTATAATGTTATCTTGAGGAACTAGGAGCATGAATAATGTTTATTTTCTGCAAAGACTATATACAACTTTTAAAATAAATCACCTATCTTTTAGAAGTAGATAGTGGTGATGGTAGCATAATATGGTGAGTATAATTAATGTTGACGACTTGTACTCTTAAAAATGGTTAAAATGGCAAGCTTTTTGTTATATATATATATATATACATATATATATATATATGTATGTATGTGTGTGCATATATATATGTATATATGTATGTGTGTGTGTATATATATGTATACATATATATATATATATATATATATGTATATATATAATGAAAATAAAACCTCTAAAAACCAGAATTATTAATTTATTGATTGGTTGTTAAAAATTACCTTTGAAAGATACATGAACCCTTTTGCATTCTGAAATCACACTAAGCAATAGTTTTCTGAATACTTGGGTCCCAAGAGCAGTAAAGCATGTGTCACAGTACTCAACAACTCAGAACAGATGGCATCCTGTCTGCTTTGCAAAGGTTGATAGGCTGGGACATCTTTTTTTTAATAGATAATCGTACAGTTCACCAGAATACTTTCTCTTTCTACAAATGCAATAACCCATATAAAAATGTTTATGGACCATTGTATTACTGTAAAGCATTTCATTTTTAATATACTAATTATGAATATAATAACTTGTCTCTGTTTATCTTATGGATTGTCTAATAACCTTTAATATTGTCTTATTTGTTCACTAAGAATTCAAGAGGGGATAAAGGTAAAAAACAAACAAACAAATGGTACCTTATCTTGATGACAAATAAATTTAAATAAATCCTTAAGGTAGAATTCAAGCAAGAGAGTCCATCTAACCAGAATTGATTAACATAGCCTTTCCCACTAGAATAATCATTTATTCCCCAGCTCTATTTGGGGTCCCTGCGTGGCCTAGAGGGTTGAGCTTGACTACTAACTGACAGATTGGCAGTTTGAACCCACCTAGCAGCACCACAAAAGAAAAGCCTGGCAGTCTGCTTCCACAACCATTACGCCATCGAAAACCCTATGGAGTGCAGCCCTGCTTTGAAGTGCGTGGGGCTGCCATAAGTCAGGATTGACTTGATGGAAACAGGTTGGAGTTTGGTTTCATTACTATGCAACATGTGAAAAAATGTATCAGTTATGGGCAGGACAGATCACAGACAGGCCAGGCATGCATGTCTAGTGTAGCACAGCTTGGCCTATAAAACTCCCACCAGCGGCTTTGTCAGCTTGTAGCGGAGCACGCTGCCAAGGCAGTGGCAGGGCAAAATAGAAAACTAACACCCCAAAGCTCTAAGTAGATTCTTGATTCTTAACAGTAATAAGGTTCGCTGATGGGTTTGAGGAGCTACATCTTGATCAACACTTTTTAATGAGATCCAGTTCTATGAGTATTTGAATTCAAACACTTTGGAGGTCTTGTTCATGAACCTACTACATGTCAAGTGCATAATTATTTTTGCATCAAAGAAAACAGAATGTATACCTTTGAGAGGTAACAATAATATTGAGAGACTATGAAGGGCTCTCACTTAAGAGTATCTTATTGTCAACATGCATTCCTGATATCCATATGTCACCATAAGGAATTTCTTTCTTTTCTAGCCATGGAATGTCCTACCCAATTTCAGGTTTAGTGAAGACATATAAAGCGAAGGATTACAATGTGGATCACCCACTGGTGGTAAAATAATCAATTCTTTAACTTAATCTTGTATTCCTTGCAATATCTATAAATATATTTGTCAGTTCTTGATTGCTTGGAGTACAGGATACTGTAATTCAGCATTCAGAATATGAAGGTTGAAGTATCGCTCCACCTCATCAGCTACCGTGTTTGATTTCTCTTCAGCCTCATGGCCTTTCTGTGGTGCTCACTTCCCCAGCAGTGTTCACTTTTACGGCAGAGATGTTTCCAGAGCGGCACCTGGAGACAGCAGAAATATTGGGTATGATATTAGTCATAAATCTGTGACCCAAAAATGTAGAGCATGACCTGCAGTTACTTCTGAAGAGAAACCATAAAGGGTAATACCAATAGAATGTTACTTTTAGGTAGTTTAATAATAAAACATCAGTGATTTGCCCAAGTCCTCTCTATCACTAAAATTCTATAATTTTATGCTTCTAAGCATCTATTTACAATGAGATGGAACTAAATATTGCTTATGTTAACTTTGTAGTAATATTTCCTTTGTTTTCATGCAAAGTGTAACTCTAACTGGTAACGTAGGAGCTCTGGTTGCGTAGTGTCTAAGGCATTTGACTGCTAACCAGGAAGCTGGCGGTTCAACTCCACTAGCCAATTCTCAGAAGGAAGGTTGGGCAATCTACTTCTGTAGTGGTACTGCCTCGGAAACCCAAGGAGGGACCGCTATGAGTCAGGTCCGACTCAATGGCAAATAACAACAACAACAACAACTGGCAATGTTATAAATGGCTTTTGCGGTGGTGCGAACAGTTAAACACTTGACTACTAACCAAAAAGTTGGCAGGTAGAACCCACCCAGAGCTGCCTTGGGAGAAAGGCCTGGCTATCTACTTGCACAGGATCACAGCCTTGAAAACCCTGTGGTGCACAGTTCTACTCTATGCACGTGGGGTTGGAGTTGGAATCAACTTCATGACAACAGGTTATATAATAAGACACCCAGAGTACTTTTTGAATCTCATAAGAAGTAACATTATATTTTTGATTGCTTTAGTATTAAGTAAACTTTTGGTATTTTTCTAGTTCTTCAAAAATGGTGAGCTATTTATGACATCTACTAAACATCTTCTAGGCTAGTGTATTTGATTAACTTTCAAAATATCTTATTCCTTCACTTGCGTTTAGGGTAGGAAAGGAAAGGCTAAAAAGAAAACTTCATTATGCTCTCCTAGCACCAGCCGTTGGAAAGATTCTTTCCAAGAAGGTAGGAATGACCGCAGACATCCTCTGCGTGTCCTGCTTGGCCTCCACTTCTTCCCTCTACACTCTGGCATTTGTTCTCTGTCGAGTTCCAGGTGATGTGCTGGGAATGTTAATGGAAGAAGCCCAGGACAGATATGCCATGTGGGGCTTGCTTTCCCAGCTTGAGCTGAGGCAAACATATGACTTTCCCAAGGATCTTTTTTCTCTTTTCCTTTTCAGAACCAGATGTTGTTCAGCCATATACTGGGATTCAAATACCTTTGTAAATATGCAAACTGTGTAAATAGGAGGAAGCCCAAATATTGTAATAGGTTAGATTTATGGGAAAATCTTGGAGAACTTAAAGTTAACAGTCCAGGCAACAGTGAAATTACTGAGAAAGCAATTTCTCTGTTAGACAAAACCCACCAGTTCTTTCTTCTTGTGGAGGAAAATTTGTTTCATATTATGCTGTACTCAGCTATTAAAATATTTTGATTCTCTATGTAATCTTAGATTTTCCTAGGTTTAGACCAATGTATTCTCTTTCCTGCCATCTCTTCTTTCTAAAACACCTCACAGGAAAAAAAGTGGTTTTGATGGTGTGTTTTATGGCAGTAATCCCAAGGACATAAAAATCTCATAAACCTCATATCATGTGTCACCTCCCCATCTAACCCATATTTTAGCTGCTGTTATTTAATAAAGACCAGTCTTGTCAAGCAAGGTTTACCTTCCATCCAGATGCTCTGCCAACCAGCCCTGTATCTGTTCTATTTATATCTTTTCCTGGATTACTAAAAACAGTCCTCACTGTTGTAGAATAAAAAGGTTCAGATTGATGTAATAATGTACCTCAAGTATATGAAGGTGAACTGAACATTCTGGTCTCCTTTTGAACAAAACAAGAGAAAGTGGACTAGGGCTACAGATGACGCATTTGGATAGACTCTGAGTAATGCCACACTGCATCCCTGGAGTGCTCACCTTGTTGGCAGTGACTGTGTCCCACTAGAGTAGGTAGGGGTGTGCTGAGGATTGCAGGATTAGTTTTTTGTCTGGGGATGTTCACTATCCCTTTCCTGAGGGCAAAATACTCTTCTTTTCTCTTTCAGATTTATGTCTCCATAATTTCACATATTCATTATTAGGTCAAAATTCTGCCCTTACAAATCTCAGATGCTTGGCAGCCTTCTTCCCGCTTCATGGATATCATTTTATCTACATGTTAAATGCTATTATCTGATAGTCTTCATGTTTTTCATTCTGTCCTACTGGTTCAGTAACGTTTATTTAGAAAAACTCACTCTTCCCTGTGGCAACAGAGGCCAAGATAAAAGATTTGATAGCTACAGAGAAGAAATACTTCTTCCCTGTGCACATGCAATCCATTTTTGTCACACTTATTTTCCTAGTTTGAGAATTTTTGTATTTCTGTACTCTTGTCTCACAAGAAATTTGCAAAGGGTTTGTCTTCTTTTCCTCATAAGATGTTTTTGTTACAAAAGACATAGAGGACCTACACCTCTAGATGTCAGCAAACTCTAAGCCTTAAAGATTACATAAGCTGCCTTTTCTTCTCATTATCCAAGCACCAGCCTCCCTCCTGGTCTCTTTCTGTGCCTCTTTTCTTTGCTCGCTCTCCCACCACACACAAGTTTAAGAAATGGCAGTCCCTTGGAAATGTGAGGGCACACTTAGCTCCCCCAGCCAGTTTCTCTGGCAAAGGCTCTTGGTGTACCTCTTCATGGCCTTCTTGTCTGTATTCTGAATAATTGTGGTCCTGCAACCTCCATGTGAAGTCAAGAGGTGTCCCTGGTCCTCGTGTGAGGGACATGGCAATACATGCACATTATGTATTCGGCTGGTACTCAGACCAAATTACTCCCAGAACCAGCTTCCTCCTCTTTCTCTCTTCACAGTCAGGGCTTTATCTCTTCTTCTAGGAGCTGACATCCGCACTGCCAGGACCCAAGATGCAGGGCTTGTTTTGGCAGACACACTCCGGAAATTCTTATTTGACCTGAATGTTGACAATGGCCTAGCTGCCCTTGGCTATTCCTCAGCCGATATCCCTGCACTGGTGAGAGGAACTCTGCCCCAGGTAAGAGAGGCAACCCCGTCCCTTCTTAGAAAGCACAGAACTAACCTTTTCATCTCCTCTCAGGAAACATGTGGTCCATTTGTGCATGTTAGGGGTCCTTCTGTGGCCCTTGGGTTCCTACACACTCCATGACTTCTCTCCCTTCCCCAGCTGGAAGCAGCCAAGTCTCCTTTGCCTTTGCTTTCCCACCAAACTGTGGATTATGTAAAGCATTTATGACACAATTGAGAGAATTTTCTATAAAACTTCTTCCTGGATGGAGTGGGAGAAAAATGTGTGACAGAAAATCATAAAAACTGACCAGGTTTACTGATCTGATAGAGACTAGCAAAATCCCCAAGACTATGACCCCTGGTTACCGTTTGGGCCTGTAATTGAACTCACTACCATGGGTTCCAGCCAAACAATAGACAGGAATATAAGGTGACCATTTACACTGTCCTTAGAACAATCAACCATGGGAGATCAGAAGGGCAGTATTTGCACAGGGAGATAGCTCAGAAGGCAGGAATGCATAGGAAAGACAGAGGCAGGGAAAGGGTAGTCACAGGGGGGAAGTGGGAAGAGAGCTGTTGAATGCAGCAATTGCAGTCAATGTCATGAAACAAAATGGGTATGAACTGTTGTATGTCACAATAAAATAAATAAGTAAAAATAAAACAAGGCACAACAATGAAATCGGTGATGAGCTATGGCAAAATTTCCCCTTTCTCCATTTCTGCTTTTCTAAGGGTTCCCTATAAAACAATGTGAAGCTGTTTCAAAAGGGCCATTAATATTATTTTCCATTATGGACAGTTACAAATTTCTACTATTTTGTGAAGAACAGACATAACCTTTAAATTAAGACTGTTAAAAAGTTTTTGTTTTTTTAATGTATTTGGAAGATTGCATATTTTGTACCTTATTTGTGTCACTTTGAGTCTTATTTATTTAAATATTGCTTAAGAATTCAAATTGAGCTGATACCTTTTATTGAGCAGAAACTCAATGACTTTAAAGTTTCCTCTCCCTTCTCATGAAGGGAATTTATCCCTCATTGGATAGTCTCTTCCATTCAGGATCAGATGCCGTTTGCTATAGTGTTAGATCCTAATAGACCAAGATTCTGTTTGCTGCAGTTAAACATAAAATAAGAATGCTCAGAGCCATGAGGACTTGGCTTGTGAACCATACTATGTGCTTACTATGTCCAGAGTTCTCACTTAACCCTCCTATCAAGAATGGGAAAGGTGAGGATCATATAAATGCTATGACGACAAGATACTTCTGCCCAAAGTTACAGCATTCATCGACCGATACCTGACATTAGAACATGGCTGTCTTAGTTATCTAGTGCTGCCATAACTAAAGTACCACAAGTGGATGGCTTTAACAAACAGAAATTTATTCTCTCACAGTTTAGGAAGCTATAAATCTGAATTCAGGGTGCCAGCTCCAGAGCTCTGGTGGCATAGTGACTAAGACATTTGACTGCTAACCAGAAGGCTGGCAGTTCAAACCCATCAGTTACTCAGAAGGAAGATTGAGCAATCTACTTCTGTAGAGATACCACCTCTGAAACCCAAGGAGGGGTCACTATGAGTTGAATTGACTCAACGGCAGTGAGTTTGGTTGTTTTTTTTTTTTTTTTTTGCTCCAGGGAAAGGCTTGCTTTCTTTTTTGGCTCTGGGAAAGTGTCCTTTGTTATCAGTCTTCCCCTGGATCTATGAGGTTCCCAGCAGGGACCCTGGGTCCGAAGGACTTGCTCCACTCCTAACTCTTCTTTCTTTGTAGTAGGTCCCTCTCTGCACCATTCTCTCTCCTTTTATCTAAGATAAAAAGTGATATAAGCCACATCCTAGGGAAACTTCCCTTACATTGGATCAGGGCTATGACCTGATTAACCAGTGTGGCATCCCTCTAATCCCTTACAACCGATTGGCTGATCACATTAGATTACATAATCCCAATTTACATAATTTCCAAATTACATCATTACATAACTGCCAAGAGATCACTAAAAGGATGAGAAAAGAAGAGAAGACCAAAATGGATGACAGAAGAGACTCTGAAACTTGCCCTTGAGTGGAGAGTAGCTAAAGCAAATGGAAGAAATGACAAGATAAAAGAGCTGAACAGAATATTTCGAAGAGCAGCTCAAGCTGGCAAAACCAATTACTATAATGAAATGTGTAAAGACCTGAAGTCTGAAAAACAAAAAGGAAGAACACGCTCGGCATTTCTCAAGCTGAAAGAATTGAAGAAAAAATTTAAGACTCAAGTTGAAATATGGGCAAAATATTGAATGATGCAGGAAACATCAAGAGAAGATGGCAGGAATACACAGAGTCACTGTACCAAAAAGAACTGGTCGATCTTCATCCATTTCAGGAGGTGGCATATGATCTAGAACCAATGGTACTGAAGGAGGAAGTCAAAGCTGCAATGAAAGAATTGTCAAAGGACAAGGCTCCGGGAATTAAAGGAATACCAATTGAGATATTTCAACAAACGGATGCCCCATTGGAGGCACTCACTCGGTTACGCCAAGAGATTTGGAAGACAGCCACCTGGCCAACTGACTGCAATAGATCCATATTTGTACCCGTTCCAAAGAAAGGTGATTCCACAGAATGTGGAAATTATAGAATATCATTAATATTGCATGCAAGTAAGATCTTACTGAAGATAATTAAAAAATTGTTGCAGCAGTATATTGACAGAGAACTTTCAGAGGTGCAAGCTGGAGTCAGAAGAGGTCATGGAACAAGGGATATCATAGCTGTTGTCAGATGCATCTTGGCTCAAGGCAAAGAATACCAGAAAGATGTTTACTTGTGTTTTATTGACTATGCAAAGGCATTTGATTGTGTGGATCATGACAAATTATGGATAA